TTAACAACTACGGCCAGTTAAGAGAGAAACGGAGTTAATTATTAGTTTGGGTTTATTTTACGCATTTCTCTCTCGTATTTAGCATACAAACAAGGTGACAGGCTTGTAAGAGCAGCGACTGGCTGGACAGCAAGACCCCCATCCCTCCCCAGAGCCGTATGCCTCCATGAATGCTGCAGTATCCTTTTTCCAGGCTGAATAACCACAAGCCAAGGAAGGAACATTGTCTTTGGTTTTTTAATAAAGCAGTGGTGCGAGCGGTGTGAACAGCAGGGGTGCCGATTTCACGCTTCCCTGCTCTTGTAAACAGTGGAAAGGCAAAGCAGAGGAACTAACTCATCACTGGATTATTCATTATGGATGAACATCCAACAGTGGCACAGTATATCTCTGGGTGCCACAGGGCCGCCGAACAGCAAGAGCCTCTGCGAACCAGTCAGGAGTATCAGAGGCAAAGCAAACGCTGCTCGCCTTGCGGCTTTTCGCTCTCGTGTTATGAGCTGTGGGTCTCTGACGAGCACCGGAACGACGTTCAGGCTCCGCAGGAAGGGTCCCTAGAGCTGGGCTTGCCCACGGGTGCTAGCAACAGAGCGGCCCTTGGGTGCGTGCGCGGCAGGCAGATACAGCCGTATATATCCGATCACCAGCCACGCAAACTTCGGACAAAGCCACACACTGGCCCTCAAAAATAATCTGGATTAGCCCTAAATCTAGAAGAACAAACACAAAGTGCTTCACAGAGTCGGTGTACTTGGATATCACACACTCTGGATTTTCTCTACCTTGAACTCTCGGGGTTGTTTCTCTGTCTAAGCACCGGGCAGCCTCGCCTGGGACATTCAGGGCTGTCCCCAGAGTGAGGCATTCCAGCTCCGTGGGTCTCCCGATGCCCAGCCCCGCACGCTAGCCCAACGGGAATTCTGCGCTGCACCCGTCTGAACCCCGCTGCGGTCAGGACCGGCTCAGAAGGAGTTAGGTCGCATTATTGTGATTGAGATTTGACTAATCCCAAACACTAAAGGGATGGATTACGTCATCCAAAAATACAAAATTGGTCTTAAACTTGGCTTTCAGGCATAGCCGAGGCTGTTTTTTACCTACTGCTGACTTCTGCGCTTAAAGCAGGCTTTTGAGCTTCTCACTACAAGCACGTTGACGCAGAACAATTTCAAACAAGGTCAAAACGGACACAGGCTCAGTGATCTTCAGAAGGCTGATTTTAGCAGAACGCTGGCCTCACCAGAGAGGGGCATTAAATCCTTAAAGCCAGAAACACTATAGCACCTTTCGGAGTCTGAATCCTAATGCCAGTGGGGTGGAAGATGTTAATCTGGGTTGAAGTTCTCCCACTCCCTTTTGTAAAGAACTATCACTCCGTTACTCCGTTAGGAGTAAGCCTTACAACTTCCATATGTTTATTCCAGACCATGAAGTTAGGCACTACCAGGAAAGGCTGCTTTAAAGACACTTAGGAAGTGTCCTCTTTATGACCAAGATCCATGAGACTTGTGTTTATCCCTCGAAAAGTGGATACTGCATAAATAAATCAAGACAGTATAAGGAACCATCTGGATCCCCAGGCCTCTTCCGAAGGCGATGTGGGATCCTACAAATGATTCAGTTGCTTACAGGCCTTTGTGCTATATAAACCAGAAATGCGTGCAAATCTTTCCCTTGACCCCAGGTAACGACGTAGGTGGGAAATAAGCTCCTTGTACTGTCCGATTTCAAGTGGTTCAGTAGGGCAGGACGAGAGGTGAATGGAGGATGGTTATTCTAGGAAAAGGGACCGGGGTGGGCAGTAGGAATTGCTTCACTGGTGAAGTCCTCACCATTCCTTGTGTAATTAGCCACTTGTCTATGGGCTCCATGTCTGAGTTCCCACCTTTACCTCTCCTCTGTATTGAGAACAGAAAGGTCCATAAAGAGAGAAACCACAGCAACAACCCGTGATAAACATAACAGCAGCAAGTTAAAAACTTCACACGCACGTACACACGCACACACAGAGTTGCCTATGGGAGCTTCTGGCAGCAGCTGCCTCCCCCTCTGCTGCCTGTCAGCTCCGTCCGTGGAGGGACAGACCTCACCCCGACCTCTGCACTTCCTACAGACAAGTTCACGGGATTTTAGCGCTTCCTCCATGCTGATATCAAAAAAACCCCATGAAAATAATAAGAAAATAAATCACTGGCTAGTAGTGAGGCTGATGTTTGTCATCTTCTTAGAAGAAGAAAATGCGTAGGCTACACGACCCAGTAAAATCGGTCAGACTTGACGGGAAACAGGGTATTGCACACTGCAGAGTTTCCCCTGGGTATGAAGCTGGGCGTTGCAGCACACCCCACTCACCTCCTCGATCTCAGCAGACAGGCTCTGCCCCAGACTCTAACCCTACGACAGCCCTCGCGGTGGCGTTGGGCGGGAGGGGAGGGAACGGCAGTTTGCTGCAGTGTTCTGGCACTTTTTCCACGTGCCCCTCTCGAGGAGCGGCAGAGGAGGATGACAGGACCGCTGATGCACCCAGCTCCTCCGAGCAGGCTGTGTGGCACAGCAGCACAAGGAACCTTAAGATGGCTTCTTGTCCTTCAGCATCTCATCCCTGAGCCAGGGCCAGGGTGCAGAGGCATCCTGAGCTCTGGAGGGATGACTTGGGATCGGCAGAGCGCAGCGGTTCCAGGACACCGGCCCTGGAAGAACTGGGCTAGCTTGGGAGAGAGCCACTGGTGGGTTTAGGTACCTCCATCTGGACACCCGGCTATGTGAGATACCTCTCCTGTCCCCGTTACCACAGAAAACAGAGAATCAGCTGCAATCTTTTATGTCTCATTTCAGTGCTTGTGCTGAGGAAAAAAAAAAAAAAAAGGGGAAATTGCTCCAACTTCATCTACTGTGTGTAACACTAGAGAATTGTTTCTTGGACACCTCTCCTCCCAGTTGTGATCACGCCACAGCTCTGTGGCAACAAAAGTAATTCCCAACATGGAAAAGCAATATTAAGAAACCAGTGTATTTTTAGCTCGTCTTGTTTCCAGCTGCTAAATCATATTAAAAGACAGCTAATGCCACGTGATCAGCCATCTCTCTACAGACCCTTCTGAGAATGACTACATTAGAAACGTCGGATGTGCTCAATTTTACCACTGGACAACTGTGCTGGAACAAGACGTGTGTGAAGAATGTGTTGAGAAGCTTTTGGCTCCTCCCTAGAGCTGTTCTTAAATTAGCTCTCTACCCAAATGAACGTGTGTCTTTCGTTTACTGAGCACTGCCAGGTTTTTCTGCTACACATGCTGGGGCTGGTAGCTTAAGGAGAGTTTAATTTTTATTTCCTTTAAGAAGAGACACCCACAAGCCTCACAACACTTGAGAAAAAGTAGTGTTTATACCCACTACCGAGAGACTGCGTTTCAAAACAACCCAGCCTGATTACACGAGACAGTCATTAGGACCTTTGAAAAGAGGCTGAAAGTCTCTACAACGTCTCAGAGCCCAAAGTTCCACAACCCATAAAGCGTTTGCCCCAAAAAACTTTGACCGTCAGATTAGCTTCGACACAGCCCTTTGAACTGACGCCACTCGGGGCAGCGCAGCAGATCCGCTGGTGTGAACGACACGTCGCATCGGCGCCTCGAGCAGAACCGGCGGAGAACAAAAGCGTTAATAAAGAAGGACGTGACCCCATGGCCATCGGGGGAATGCAGCCCCCTTGACCGGTAGCTAAAGGCAAACCCCTCTGGTTTGGTTAGCAAGGAACAAAGAGCAGAATCTCAAATCCTTTCCCAGGTCCCGCTAATAACTCCCAGTGATACTGGGAGCTTGAGTCGTCACGCCGGCTTCAGGAATTTCTCTCTCCCCCCACTTAATACACTTTCCTGCCTCCACATGCTTTGCCCTTTTCCCTCTGTACTGCTGGCGTGAGTTTTTTGTGGGGCTGAGCTTCAAACTGGTCACAGGGCTGACATGGGTTATAAATTACCCTTTCTGCAGGAGGACAGGGACAAGCAGATAGATTTGTGGGGCGGGGGGATGCTCCGTAAGAAATCATTGCAGAAGGCCTGCTGCCACTGAACTACGGCCCAGGCAGGCAGGCAGCTGTGATCTGACCCCAGCTGGCTCCCAACCCAAATTCTCCCTGGCTCAGAGCACAAGCTGCCAGGCATGCCAGCTGTCCTCAGCACTCCCATCTCAACTCGTGAAAGAACCAGGGCGGGATCAGACATGGGGAGGCAATTCTGGAGGGAGGCGTGTGCGTGCTGCACTGGCTCTGCCATGCTCCCTAGTGGAAAAGGCTCTGAACTTGCTCCGTCATCTAAAAACTTACACAGGGCTCGAGTACGAAAGAGCAGGACCGTTTTAAACAGCAGGGTGGTGGAAAGGGGTTTTCACTGCTGCTTTCACCCAGGTATGCAGGTAAAGCTGGCCAAGCTCGCTCTCTCCAACACGCTTCCGGCATCAGCTGCTGCGAGGTGACAGGCATGGGCCTCTCTGCCCACGCAAGATAGCAGGAGCCTTCCCCGGGACCCACAGAACCCACCGTGTGCGAGGGCAGCTATGGCAGGGCATGTCAAGCGGTAAAATCTGCTTGATTTCTCTCCCTGTAACTCGCTCATGTACCCATGCACCAGTAGATTAAGAGTGCATCAGCTTTCATAAGCAAAAGCAAACCAAACAAATGCACACCAGCGCACTCACAAGACGTTCCCCACTTATTCTTTTCAGCAGTGATTCCAGTCAAAGAGCTAGACCCCCCCAGGCAAGCTGCAAGAACACAGGAGAATTTACCCACTATGATTTTGAAGTCTTTTAGGCTGGCGTGCTAAGTAGCAGCTCTTTAGGGAACATTACTGAGCAAGTACTTGCTCCTAGATATCAATTTCAGAATAGCCAGTACCAGCCTGTCCCTGGAATACAGAATGAGGAGTCTCGGTCAAAGCAGCTGCCTACAGCTTGGATTCCACGCGAGGCTTCGGGTAAGAAACCACAGAGCAACGACCTACCCCTCCCGTGTTCTGTTTCCGGACATCCAGGGCCGACGCCAGTCCTTTGACAGCCTGCGGATCCTCGTAGGTCACGCTGCAAGAAAGGAACAAACCACGGAACTAAAAAAGTGCAGCAGTCACCCATGCAGAACGCACTTGCGACGCGGATTTACTCCCCGGGAAATCAGAAAGCACACTCTTCTTTTAGCAGGACTTGGAGTGAACGGCAGGCAGAGAGTGTGCTCTGTCTAAAGACCCTCCATCTGATTCAGTAAGCATCTTGAAGCAAAACGAGTAAGACTGGCCTTATGAAAGGCACCCAACCAGGTTACGAGGCAGCACAAGCCTGTCCCAGAGCTAGCAGAGCACTCTGAAAGAGGCCCGATTACACATTACGTTTTGCAGAGCTCTGAAGACATTTGGAAGCCTGGACTTGCTGCGTGTGTGTGGGGAGTCAGGGGGAGACTCAAAGACAGATGGAACATAACTGATCAACTACAGTGAAGCGTACAAAGACAGACACTCTTGACGGGTTGGGTTTTTAAAAAGCCTCAAGTTGCTCTGCAAAATGGACGTGTGGCAGTCAGGTGACAGAGGCAATGGCATCTTTTCTCAGAGCGCAGTGGTGAACCAGGAGCTGAGGCAGATGCCAACACCTGCCCATAAATCAGCTCCTGGGAGGAGCTGTGTGTCAGAGCACGAGGAGTGTAGCTTCTCCGGCGTGCTGGCTTCTCCCAAGCTCCCAGCACAGCACCCTGAGGCTCTCACCCACACACCAGGACAAGCCACCCTCACATCTTCACTGCTGCCCCACTTACACAGCACACAACCCAAGGAGGATACAGCAATCCTCCCTTGTGAAATCCAGGACTGATGCGTGCTCCTTGTTCCATCAGCTGACAGAAGGAGATAGAGGTGCAGTGTGGGAAGAGAAGTTTCGTGCTTCATTTAGCACAACAGACAGAGGGACGTCCTTTAGATCTCCCTGCAGCGCATCTCCTTTCTGACTGTACGTTAGGGCGCTCAGCCTGAAATCTCCGGTGGAAGCATACGCCTCTACAACAGAGCACGTCTTCCCAACACTGATACTACAGCAGATACTATCTGGATAACCACAAATAAAAGATCTTGGTAAATTTGCTGGCCTACGTTTGCCAGAGCTGGCAAGTTTTTGATAATCTGCTAAGGTCTGAGCTAAAGTGTTTTAAGGACATTTCTTAGTTTGAGACAAGATACTGATGATGTTCTGACTGCTGACAGCCACGACACCCTCTATAGTCTGAAACCAGAAGGCGGCAGGAAATAATATATGGAAGAAAAATACCTGAGTGTGTCTTTTACTGAATCTCACTTGACAGGGATCAAAAGGATTTCTTAATAAGTGCATAGATTTATTTTACATTAAAATAATTAGACCTGTTACATGCCCTTGAAAGTGCCTGATTTGCAGCTCTAGAGATGCAAGCCCTATGCATATAAACAAATTAGGGATAGCATGGCAGCTGGGCAGGCTACACTGCCTTGACAGCCTGCAAGAGTCTGACTGCTGGGCCAAAGGCAGAGTATAACTGGATGGTAATTCTGTTTGAAGCCCTTGATGACAGTAATTCAGTCACCAAAGCACATCCACAACCTTGCGGTGAAGGACCCTTACGCTCCTGTATCTCAGGCACCGGCTGGGTGCATGGGATGAGAAGCCTTTATGAGAGGAAGCATCTGCAGAAGTAAAGGCAAGTTCATCTCCAAGTTTCCAGTGAGCTCACAGACTGAGATAGTCAAATAACGTTACTCAGCCACTCTGCTCTGCCCAGCAGAAGGAACTTCTCCGCTTGCTCATACTAATAACGACCAACAGGACAGGGATTGGGTGAAAAGCACAAAACCATACACCCAAACAACTTTTTAAGTCTGGAAGGAAGTCAAGGAGTTTCAGATTCATGCCCTTAAGAAAACAGCCATGTTGTGACTCAGTGCTAAAGACAAACTCCAACATACTTCTTTCGCTGCTCAGCCAAGGAACTGCCTCTCGTCTGTGCAAACATGTCGAAGTCGTCACGAGGATTACAGTGTTGTAGAGAGCTGAGCGTGCCACTGACGCTGTTGGTACCCAGGTCTGAAACCGGAGGCAAAAAAAGAAAACTGATGAAATAGAAAAGCATGTGCAAGCAGCACTGCCATGACACGGAGGTTACAGAAGAAGTTGTTAACAATGCAGGACAGCTATGGATATCATGGAATCACAGACTGGTTTGGGTTGGAAGGGACCTTAAAGCCCACCCACTCCCACCCCCTGCCATGGGCTGGGACACCTTCCACTAGACCAGGTTGCTCCCAGCCTCATCCAGCCTGGCCTTGGACACTTCCAGGGATGGGGCATCCACAGCTTCTCTGGGCAACCTGTCGCAGTGCTCCCCACCCTCTCTGGGAAGAATTTCCTCCTGATGTCCAATCTCCATCTCCCTCTTTCTGTTTAAACCCGTTACCCCTTGTCCTGTCACTCCAGGCCCTTGGGAAAAGTCCCTCCCAGCTTTCTTGTAGCCCTCCCGGCACTGGAAGGTGCAATAAGGTCTCCCCGGAGCCTTCTCTTCTCCAGGTTGAACACCCTCAACTCTCTCAGCCTGTCCCCATGGCAGAGGGGCTAGTTAATATCTAGTTATCAGTTGCAGCACAGAGCACAGTTCTGTCCCGAAGAAGCTGGCGGCTGCTGATCATCCATTTCTTAAAAGACAAACGTAGGAGATTGTCTTACACCTCCACGAAACACCACGCCATAAGTGCTCCTCCATCGAAAAGCCAGCATTTGGGAATTGGTGTGCATCTGCTGCCAATCTCATCCTGAGGTATTTACTACTCACTAACATGGGCCAAAATTTTGGGCTTGGATACTAGTTTTCTCCACAATGTTGTCTCTCCGCTATTGACTGTGAAACCAACAGTTTCCAAACAAGTGATATGATACTGGCACAGTGCTGAAAGAGGTGGAGAACCTTCGGTCAAATCAAGTGATCCTATCAAGCAATCTTTGGTTTGATTTGATGTAAAACGTCTAACAGTTTCATAAACCCTTTCATCCAAAGATTTCAAGCATTATTTGTAGAAGGGGAATCAGGAATATTCACCAGACTGAAGTGCTATACCTAAGCAGAAATCAAAGTAGTAGTACAAGTTTTACCTTTCCATTGGTTAATAAATCCCTCCCGTTGTGCCAGGCTGGTTCCCACTTACAGAGTGCTACAGGGCAGGGGGGTGGGAAAGCCTTCCTCATCCTGTAAGCCACACCCTCAAACCTGCCAAAGGCTACACGCAGAAACTCCCTGACCCCCAAGTGAAAAATGGCTCCTTGTAAATCCCAACAGCCCAGTGCGATGAGAGCTTGTAGCAGGCGTTCAGGTCGGTCAGAGGGAGCTCAGCTCCCGCAGTCACACACCTGCATTACCTAGCAGCTCCCACATGCTGTTCAAGACCCACAGACTGCTCAGGCTTGAAGAAGTGCCTGCACCCCAGCCTCATGTGCACCAGCAGTGTTTCAGTCAGGTACTCACCAAGCCCTGCAAGCTGCGAAGAGAGCGAAGACGGGGGTGCGGAGTTTCCGACCATTGGGCTCACTACAGCTGGAGAGCCAGGACCCAAATCTATTAAGTTATCTTCTGTCACCTCATTCAGTACCTGTTGGGATGCAAAAAACACAGCAAGTTACACATGCCTGAGGTTTCTTTTTGCAATTAAACACCATTAAACACCAAAAAATAATGGGTGCTTCTTAAAAAGCTCTCCTGCATACTGCCAAATGGAGCAGTGTCTTGCGTACTGTGGTGATGAGAGCAGAATAAAAAGGGTCAGCCACCAAAAATACTCATGAACTCAGATCCTGAACACTAGAAAACAATTATAAAATAGTTTTTCATTGAAAGAGTAATTAGAACTGTAACTCTTCAGCTTGGAAAGGGACTGTTGCAAGAGGTTCCTAAAGTTATGAGTGGCATTAAGAAAATGAATCTGAACAGCAGTATTGTAAGACAGAGTGAAGAAGAATCAGGCGGGTCAAATAAAAATCATTAAGTGACTCGTTCAAATGTAAACAACCTATTTATTACAGATACACATATAAATATGTAAAAATGTGTACTGAAACGGTGGAATTCACTGCTTAAGGACACTGTGAATGCCTAAAGTCTGCACGGACTGAAAAGCAATCAAAAAAGCTAGTAGAGTAAAGAAAATCCATCAGGGATTGTAAACACAGAGATGTTTTAGTGCAGCGTCTTCCTGAGCTAAAAGTTGTCACTTGAGCTTTGCCATATTCTTCTGCTCTTCTCCTGGTACCCACTATTAGCCACGACAGGCAGGACACAGGGCTGGACAGATAAAAAGTCTGGTACCAGTGACAGTAGCACTGCTCGGGTGGTGCAGCTGCTGATGTAAAGCACGGGCTCAGGTACTTACGCCATTGCTGGCATTTTGTGTTGAACGTCCCGATCTGTATCGTTCAAATCTGCTTAGAAAAAACAAAACAAATCAAAAACCTCAACATGGACTACCAAAGACACCAGTAAACAACGAAACCCACAAGTTTATTATAAAGTCATTGCCACTGTTGTTTCAACAGGGTACCCTGAAAGCTTTAACTCCAAGCCAGGGCAAAGGGAGGAGAGTTGCAGAAGTTCCATTCTTGGCAAATGTGGATATTAAGTTGACTAATGCGATCTTGCAGCACACACATGCCTGAAAGACACTGTAGGATTTGTCTCAGGTTGTTTTTTTCATTAAGTGCTGCGTGATAGACTATTCTGTTAGCCGAGGGACAGGAGGAACTGCCGCAAGATTGATGCTCCCAGGCTAAATCAGCTGAGCACCACAGCAAGTCTTACTCCCACTTAACAGCTCCCTCTTGCTGCAATCCATGTAAATGAGAAGCCGTGTGCATGCCAGCATAGCCCAGCACAGGGCAGGAGAAACACCGGGCAGATTCAGTTCTTAGAAGTGGGTCAGCTCAAAGACCATCAGGGCCTATGTTCAAATGGGTTGGTGCTTTCCAAGAGTGAAAAGTAATGATGTTGGATAAAAATCCTCCTAGTTCCTAGGGGAAGAAGGCTGGCTAGGCAAGAGCTGGTCTCTTCTATGCTCCTTCACCAACCAGTTGTGCAACTAGGGCTGCAAACCTAAACCCAGCTTTCCTAAGCTCAAAAAAGTAGGGGGAACTACCCACTCTCAAGGCCTCTCTGAGGCCAGTCTGATCTCCTTCCTTACAAGGAAAAACACCATGATTTCTCTAAGTTTGTTTTTCCTCATTTAAGAGCAGTTTCACATGTAACCTCTCTTTTCAATAAAAAAACACGTAATATTCATATAATCCTGTGGGTTTTCTCCCAGATGGACAAAACACAACAGGAAATCTCAAGCAACCTAAAATGTTTTTTTAATGTAACAGAGGAAAACGCAGACTTAAAAGACAGCAAACCCAAATTCAGGCCCAAATTTCAATTTTGGGAAACCGTGGGTGTTTACTATTACTGGAAATCCAGCTCCCTTAGCTGGAAACCTAAGACACCTCCCACCTCATCTTTCTCACCAAGAACCACACGTTCGTTTACACCCAAAGCTTGACAGCAAAGGGCAGAGCTCCTGCCTGAGTCACTGGCAGAGCTGGTACCCAGAGTAGGAATCAGCGGGATGAACCTTGGAATAGCAGAGGAGGAAGTGGAATTTACTGAAAGGCTCAGACCAGTGCAGTTATTCTGCGCCAGAGAGCTGGCTAACATCACCCAGCTCGCCTGTCAGCGTGTAACGACTATGAATACATTACCCTCAGCCAGCAAAGCCGCAGATGGAGGAAAACAGAAAAAATATGAAGGCTGACCAGACTAAGCCTTAGTGGCAGTTACACTCTGCCACTTGTAGAATCATGCCCGAGCATGAAACACATACCATTTCACATAAAAAGCCAGCAGCTGTTTCAAAGTTTGCCCCGCTCTCCTCTGAACAACTAAATCAAAGACAAAAATCGAGGCCACTGAGCCTTCTTTCCAGCCTTCGCCGTGACAGCACAGATTCACAGATCTAGAGTCTAATTTATTTTTAAAGGCTTGAGAAACAAAGAGTGTGGTAAGAGCAAGGAACAAAGGGTACTCTTCAGTGCCTCACTCCCCAGGCCTGTCATTAAGGGGAAGATTAAACTTTCCCAAGACTGCCCTATCACGTGTCACCTACTGCAGCAGATGTGGCTGACAGCGCCTTTGTCTAACACGTCCAAAGTCCTACGGCCCAAGTCCCACCCCTGGGGACGATTCCCACAGACCACCTCTTCAAAAACCTCAGCTCTGCGCCAAGATGGGCCTTTTAAAAGATTCTAAGCGTTACTTCAACCCGAAACCCTTACGCGCGTGAAAGTCACACCCACCTCAGCTCCCCTCGCATCCATACTGGAACTGGAGAGCTCGGAGATCAGAAGACGGAGTGGGCTCACGGGAGCCTCCCTAAGCCAGGAGGCAGCAGAAGCGTTTGCGCAGAGCCCAAGCCAGCAAGCAGCGAGTGGCTGTGCTATTTTCAGGCCCAAGTCTGTACAGCTGTACCGTACCACTCAACGGGGAATCGTAGACTCGAGTCTTTGCTAGTTCAGAGGGTTTTGCACAAGGTCGCTCTGCGTTTTATGGACATTCCCCACAAATATTCAATGGGTAGGACAAAAAAACCCACCCAAATCAGAGTATTAAAGGAAACAACTGAAACAGGAATGTTACGGGAAGAGGCCAGAAAAAGACTTTGTAAATGTTGTCTGTGGTTTGGGTCTCTGCATTTTGTTACGTTGGACCACTGGCCCACAGGGCCAACTCTTGTCAACTGTTCTATTTTACACCTGAGTGAAAACCCAGGACAAACGTAAACAGCTGATGGAAAAGGCACCCACCTTTCGTATCGGAGAAAGACGTTATTTAAATCGTCATTCACGTGCAGCAATTCCTCTGTGACTTCTTCATTGGACACTCGTGAGATAAGCTCCACGATCCTCTGCTGCATCGCTCTACAGGTTCGGTTCAGCTCCTAGGAGGAATGCACCGCGCACATGTGTTCCCATAAGCAGCCAGCAGTAAGTAGATTTAGTCGAGCTCTCTTCACAGCCAAACATATCCCCCAGCTGAGAAACACCAAGACAAGTCTATCTTTGCATGATTAAATGTCACCCAAAAGCACATCTAATCAAACATGCCCTTCAAGAGATGATGGCATAAAACCTTGAGAGCTTATTTACAATTCAACAACCTGATTCTTCTTTAACTCTGAGCACTTCAGAAAATAAATAACTGTATTTTAGTGATCTGTTTTAAGAATTAAACATGTTAATACAACAGGTTTCCAGAAGAGAGCTTTCAAGGAAAATTCAATCTGCTCTTTTTGGCAACATCATCCTTAAAAACTGAGAGATGCACGTAGTGGAACAAGTGGGGAAAAGCAGACCATCAGGGCTACCACAGGTAGCTAAGTGTGTGCTAGGAAGAGAAGAGTTGGGGACACACAACTGACCCACTACTGAGGACATGAGGGTGAACACAAAACAAGGAGCAGGGAAAGATGAGCACTCCACACACACTGCAGTACTGCACACAGAAACGTTCCCTTCAACCGAGCGAGCCCACAGGGAGAGACTGCACAAAGGCAGCGGGGAGTTTCAGGAGGTTTTAAAGAACATAGACTAAGGGCATTTATTTTAGAAGTCTCTCCGCCAAGAAATCGGGATTTGAGTTTGCCTAAACCAGGAGTTCTTGTGCTTCCAGGACATCTCTTCCATCACCAATTACTTAGCAGAATTCTGCACTCCTGAAAGGCCTCAAGACCAAAAGGTCAAAACCGGCCTGTTGAGGAGGAACTGCAAGAAGAAACGTGACATATGGCACGGCGCCACTGATTAGGCCCACGGTTTTACTTCAATAAGCACTGACATTTCAACTAAAGCATGTCCCTCTGTCATCTCCTGCCCCCTCCCAGCTCCACTTCACAGCAAAAATTCAGCACTAAACAAGGATGACTTGTTGGTACACAACCTTCGGGATGAAAGCAAAAATGTGTTTGTTTTCCTTGCTGGGTCTGACATCCTAAGCTCTGGATAAATTTCACCTAGTGCAATCCAGCTGCCTTAACAGCTTGAGGAATGCGTTCTCCAATGTCAGTTTTGATCCCATCACTTTAGAAGCAGATTGTGACATTTCAGAGGTTTGTTTGCTGCTTTTCCGAGAGGGCTGACAGTACCTATCTATTCTGCTCAGAGCTGGCTCTCTAGCAAGCTGTTTACATTTGATCGTTGGAGAAAATGTCAGGAATTATTTAAGGAGGAGGGCTATATAAACCTCAAAGCAAGGAGACCTTGCACGCAGCACCCGGATCCCCGCTTTCAAAAGACTAACCATCCTTTGTGATCAAAACCAGGTTCTCCCCAGCTCTGTGATTCCGATTTAGGATGCATCAGTCAAGGAAGGGAACCAGTTGGAATAAAGAAGCGTTGCTGTCACTCTGTTTTATGATCAAGTTCTTTCACCTTAAAGCTACGCTGTAAGGTTACACTGTCAAGATGTTAGTAGTTCTTTCTGAACGTAACCAAACTGTTCTGCGCTGTCGTGGTTTCCTGTAAGCGTCTTTTGTTTTGAGCAGTCCGACCCAAATGGGCAGTAACCGAAAGGCTCTTTATTGCAAAGCCTCTCATCAGCTGCCACGATGGCTCCGAGACAAACACACAATACTGCTGCCTTGGAGAGACCAGAGTCTGGATGGATTTCAAACTCAGATGTATCACAGCGAGCAACTCCCTGCCTTCCTCCAAACATACTGCTGTGGGAGCCCATCCTCCCTGCTGTGGAAAGGAAAATACCACGGTAAGGGCCGCAACTGGGATCCAGATCGCAGCATTCCTCATCTGCGTTGCACGTGGTACTGTACTACTTTCCTCAGCCAAAAGGCCACCCCGCCAGCACCGGCCTGGGGAAACAGGTCTGAAGCCTGAGACATGAGCTCAATTTATACCGTTTTCCCTTTTGAGATAATGAATGCTGCACTAAATTGAGACACTTCAGCCAAAGAAAACTCTTCTTTTTCACAGAAAGCCCAGTCTAACCCTCCAGACAGAATGAAACTTCAACCGCCTTAAGCCACCGCCTTCAGTAAAGCTACAGCACATCATCTGGGAAGACAATCAGTTCATACATGTGATTGAGTGGTGGAGAATGCACAGACCCTTGGCAATATTTAGCCCAGCTGTTGTTTTCCTGCACAGCGACCAGGAATATTTCGACACTGTACGACTGAGGACGGAGGATGTAAGAGAAACAGAAATGCTCAGGGCTTACAGAGCCTATCACAATTTTAAGCTGCTTTGTGGTAAGGGAGACCTTATATTCAACATCGGGGAAAATTTCTGGTAGAAAGCAACAGAAGTAGTTTCCAGAGAAGTCAGGAAATTCTTCTCACTGGAAACTTTAGCAGATGAAGAACATCAAGTGATGAGACTAGCTGGGATCAAGCGCAGTCCACATTAATTTTGTAACACAAGCAAACCGAAGCAGCGAACAAAACCCACACCCCCCAGAGAAACTCAAGCACAGAAAGGATCACAATTATATTTCCTAGGAAACTGTTACCTGGAGTAACTCAAGGTCTGAGGAATCCTCTTGTCCAGGTACCATTTCTGTCAGCATTTCAGACATCACTTTCGTATTCCCACGAACAATATCCAGTTCACTGCGCAGCCGGGCAATCTAAATTGGGGTAAAAAGACAGCAAAAGACTGCATGTTCTTTTGGTTTAAGCAGATCCTTTTCAAGAGCTGACTTTGTGATACCTCTGGTTCTGTCTGACTTGATTATCTGAGGCTCCAGACATTCTAGCAGGGGAAAAAACTCAAAGATAAAAGGTTTACCCAGGAGAGAATTTTAGAAAGGAAGAGAAAAAGAACTGTGTAGAACCACTCACTATCATCACAAACCCAGATGCGCTGTGCTTGTATGGAAGGGAAGCAATTGGAAACAGACCGTGGCTGCAGTACACCCCGCGTGCCTCACGCTAGCGTGGGGAAAGACGCACAGATTTTGAGCAGGAACTTTGGCTCTGAAGTTATTATTTTTGCAGAGGGAAAAGAAGGGCATTTGCAAGAGTCTTACAGATGCAGACTTCACTCGCTGTAGAAAAGAATGCCCGCATCTGCAAGTCCTTCTGTGCCTTTAAAGGAGGGGGGGGCTGGTGTATCAGCTTGTGAGGTTTTGTAACTCTGCCATTAGGAGGCCATACCTACAAATCAAAGCCTAGATTTTACAGTGTAATAGGAGGAAAGATTAAGCTGAACCAGACCCAGGAGGCAATCCAAGTCAAGAAAGTTAAAAGGAAAGTTCCTCCAACAACAAGTTTCTAATCTGACCTGCTGAAAGGCTCTCACTCAAAAGAATCCTCATCCCAGTACCTGTTCAGAATTAGCAGTGATGGGACCAGTCACATTCAGAGCCGGGGCCTGAGAAGCAGAATACGCCGTTGGAGAAGATGAGGAGTAAGAACTGGTGCTCATCCTTTGCTGAGACTGCGAATTGTGCATATTTGCTGCAGGATCAACTTCAGGAACACTCTGCCACATCAGAAAGACAGTTCAAAAGCTGAATTGTGACAGCACTTGCTTTGTCAGCAACCTCAGGCCAAATACGCTCAAATATAGAACGTAATTGCACCTTGTGGAAAAGGTCAGTGCAGTTAGGAGGACGGGCTGGCAGGCCAGCCCATAAACAGACAGCTGCAACAAAAATGCATGCCCGTATCTTTTGACCCAACCCACATGCGTTTCAGTCAACTTACCTTTACAAGACAAGAGAGAAGCAAAATAAAACCAAGAGCCAAAGAGAAATAATCTTAAATTATTTTAAACTAGGAATTAAGTTGCAGGCTTAAAAAAGATGATGTGATACATAGATACTGAATTTAGTTAATCTTGGTACAAGAATTGTAATCTTTCAGTCTTTGACCACTTGCATTTACCACTTCAAAAAGTCATTAACTTCAGTTTTCAGAGTGAATAATCAGAAACTGTGATCATTAAGTTACCTCCTCGCAGCACTTCTGTCAACTTACCAGCCCTAACTTTTCAGAGGTGTGAAGACCTCACGTTACCATGGGAACAGTGACAGAGTCGGACTCTGTACACCTTCAGAAGACTGGCAGGCCTTGGTTCCAGGTTACCACCAACAGAAACAACCACACTTCTGAGCAAAAGAAGCAAATCTCAATCATATATCCTGCTGGACTCTCTCTGAATAAATCAGTTGCATTTGTCTGGTGGTTTTGTGGTCTGAGACAAGTGTAGAAACCTCCTCCAAACTCTCTTCTCAGATGGATGTTCGACCCAAGGCAGGAGACACCATTAGCTTATCAGCCGGCCAAACACAGCCATATGATGCTTCTCCTACATGCCCTTTCGCTATTAAAGAAGTCCTTCTAGGAGTGAGAAAATGAGCCAAATACAGAGAAACAGGAGGGTAAAGAAGAGTAGTCATTCAACTATTTAGACATCCTGGGAAAATACCCTTGGAATTGCAATGCTGCAGCTTACCCTCTGTGGTGTGTGTATTGGAGACAGAGCATCAAGATCGGCCATGGGAAACTCGATGCCTTTCCTCTTGAGTTCTTCATAAATATGCACTACTCCAGTTAAATCAGGGCTACTTCGAAAGGCATCAGCCCAAGCCTGGAAAACATGAGGGATTATCCATAAACCTTTCAAACGAAGTTCCAGCTCCACCCTGACCTCAGATACTGACTACAGAAGCTTTCAGGTATTCCAGCTTCAGAGGGAAGCTCAAATCATTAGACCTGGTCTAAAAGATCCTGCAAATATTATTGAGAGAGTCATGTACACATTTTATTCAAAAATAAAAGAGAGTGGAACCCAGTGCACAGTAGCTATGTGACATCATCAACGCCTGAAAATGCAAAGGAAAACCTCTTCCAACCTCCTCTGCTTGGCAGGGATTGCACGCTGAGCTTTTCTTGCCTATTCTAAGAGCAAGGACCCACCAGAGAAAGTCTGGGAGAAAGATTAAAATGATCTAAGCAAAATTCATGAAGTCATACCATAATATGAGGTAATCTCAATTTATTCTATGAAACACACTCGTTTGTTGCCTAAGAAAAAAACCCGCATAGCTGTCAAGTTTTCTTCAGTATTTTATTCGGACCAAACTTAAATAAAAATGGTAATTTCTGAGGCTGTTATATTGTGAAACATGCAGTCCCATGAGCAGCAGAACTAATGACGCCTGGGCTCTTACAGAGCATATCCAACACTCAGACACCCCGGTGTGTCAGAAAGAACAAGCTTAAAGGGAGAATTTCCCACAGCCAGAACATTCATAATCTCTCTCCCGCATGAATTCTCTGGTGTCTAAAAAGGCTTCGATTCACATTTCAGCTTTTCCTTCAGTGGGAGTACAAAGCGTTTCTCTTCGCTGGCCAGCCTCCTGTACTCATGAAGCTGCTAGGAGCGTAACATCTTGAAAGCCTCTACCCCATTTCACTTTTGCTGGAAATTAGCCAAGTATTAAAAACTTAGGGGAAGGAAAAATTGAAATATTATGACTCCATTAAAAATGAAGCATTCCCCAAACCCCCACATACGTGAGGCAGAGCATCAGCGTGCTGGATCCAGAACCACCGTGAGACGCGTGTGTGGGCTCTGAACTGAATTCATTTAGTCATCACTTTCACAATGGTTCTTTTACTTTTTTTACTTTAAAAGCTGGTTTTAACCACTTTTTATATTTGTGAGGAGAGAAATCGAAAGACAGAGAAACAAGATAAGAAGTAATATTTAACTTACATTCCTAAGGCATAGCATTTCCTACCCTACATGCCCAGGAGACAACCCATTATCAGCTGCAAGCCAACAATTCTGGGTCTGCTTCTCAGCTTTGTTAAGAGTAAATTAACTGCATCAACTGTTCTGATGCAGTGCGAGTCCAAACAGCCCTACGTGAGCAAGAGAAAACAGCTCTGACTGCAAAGAGCCATCCTGTTTCCCTGGAACTGACCTTCCAAACCATCCCTAATTCTGATGGAGATGCTGACTGCACGAGTAACTCTACCCTCGCGCTTTCTCTGCATTTTCTGCAAGAAGACGTCCAAACGATGCTTTACATAATGGTGTTCCCTGCTGCATTTGCAAGTGAGAGTGAAAAACGTGAGGCAAGGGATGCTGTCCTTAATCATCACTCAAAAGAAACTTAGAGGCTGCGTCGCTGCCCCCAACCCCTAACAAAGCTTGTTGGCCCAGGAGGATGTACTAACGCACTCTCTCTTTCACTGGCTTCCTATAGATTGTGTTCTGGGCCCTGAGGACAGGGAACTCACTTCATTTGCACTCTGCCCTTTTAATATATTCTCTCTTCTGCAACTCTCTTCCCTGCAGAAAGGAGACACTTTAATTTGTATTCTTCTGCCTGAGCTGGCAGCGTTAGCGATACCAGCGTGTCTCCTGGAGGTCACAAGCAGGACTGGGCCCTGCTGTCCTAAGTGCTGTCTACGCACATGGTAAGACAATCCCTGTCCTGGACAGCTTACAATTCCACTAGGAAAAAGTAATGGGAAAGACACACAGATCTTAGGAGACTTGCTCAGTGTCCAAACAAGCATATGAGAGAGGTGAGATTGAATTCAGATCTCCTCGGACTCTGGGCCACACTATCAAAGGTAGATACTTAAGGATGCTGCTGTATAAATCCCACTTGCACCTCAGTGTGCCCACACAGGTTAATTCAACTCCACTGCAAATCTGGCCCCTCCATCAGTGACCATCACAAGACAATTTTTCCAGTGTCAGGCATGTTTGAACACACTGACCCTCACAAGAATTTGCTGTGCCACTAAAAGTGCCCCCATGCTTCATCTTGACAGTGTTCAGGGTACTGGGCAGCAAGGTGGCGTGAGCTCTGAGGTGATATGCAAGCTCTCACTGGAGAGACAGCACTAAGGAATACTTCCAAGGCCTTTTAGCAAGGTGAGGAAGGAAGGGTAAGCAGTATGGAATACATGCTAATTCATGGGAAACAGGGTGAGAAAGTGAGACACAAGATGCCCGACATCTCAAACCAGTCACGTCTCTAGATAAGAAATTGGAAGGCAGCTTTATCTACCCGTGCTGCGGAAAGGCCCAACAGCTGTATGGCTGAAGACATGTGCTGTTTGCACAGCTTTTTTCCATGCCTCTAAGACTGTGCTATTAATCCTCTCATTTCTCTTCTTATTAATTCCCTGATATCAAATTGTAAAAAGCCTAGAGAAGGGGAGAAATGTAACGTCAGTGGAGCAGAGCTGAGAAGAGCTCAGCCCGGAGTTAACTCCAACTGCAGGGAGCTCTGAAGAGTCAAGCCTAAGCTGGGTGAAGTGGCCGTGACGTCCGGGGTATTTTGGGCAGCCGAGATGGGTGACTGCCACCATTTTTCCAAACTTGTCAGGCAATCTGGAAAACAAAGTCCCCTGCCACCTCCAGCTAAAGACACTAACAGAACCCACCCACAGGCAACTTTCATAATTCTTCTGCTTTTTATACCGAAAGGCATTTGGTACCCAGAGCCAGGCTTTAGCTCTGCTGCACTAAGGCTGCTCAGATAAAGCTCTGCTTCATACGCTCAGGCACCGACCGCGGCTTTCTGGTTACGTTACAAACACTTCCATCTCCTAGCTCCATTGATAACTGGGAATCCACTTAAATCCAGGACCCAGGGTAACCAACATCCTCTAAACCACCGTAGCAGAGCAAACAGTATGGAAACACGTACCGTTTCTCCTCACAGGACAAGCATTTAACCTCATCTCCTGGTCACTGCATGCATCAGCTCTCCCATCAAAGCAGGCAGACACCCCAGGGCTCAGGCAGATGCACAAGAATTGCATATAATGATTTCATTAATTTTGTGCTATTTTTTTGTGCCTTGAGATCAGAGACCAGAAATAAAGGGGCCTCACAGCCCCCAGTGCAATGCCCACTTAATTTCCTCACCCAACCTATTTCATCCTTGGAAATCACTTATTTACATTGTCGTGCTCTCACAAGGTCCTATCTGTGTATCCAAATAACACATGAACCAGCAGAATTTCAACCGCATGCTTCGCCACAAAAATCAGAAGCATCGTTTGAAAACTACGCGTTCGTAAACACCTTCCTACAAGAAACACTGCAGCAGGTTTATATCATTTTAAATACGCAGCGTCTTTTAGTCTCTGGCATATGCAATAGCCTGTAGGAGCTTAGTGATAAAGCTTCCTATAATTGTCAAATTTCCTCCAGGCAGGCACCAGTGTTTCCTCATGTGTTGCTAATGGTTTGTGGAATTAACATGGCTGTTTATTGTTATGCTGCACAGAAGGAGAAGTGGCAGACAGGCCTCTGTCTGAACTTCCCCCACTGCAGGCAAGGATCTGACAGTGCACTTTTACTGCACAATAACCAGGGAAAAGACATCCAAAAAAATTTAATTCCTATATGGTCATTTACTCTCCTATAACCATCTTTAAAAGGCATTCAGAATGCTTTCTAATGGAAGGCAACAGCTCCATTTTACGGTCAGGGAAACAGACACAGAAAGGTAAGTGTTCTGCAACTGACAGCGAAAGCGTGAGCCTCTAAAATCTCCTGGCCTCAGATGACAAGCCCATCACAGAAGCAGGTCTCCAGCTTCCAGATTTGACTGTTAAATTGCAAAGCCGCCCACTTCTCTTTTATTCAGTTTTCTTGGTTTAGAGTGGTACCTTTCTAAGTAGAATCCGGACATTTCTCCCTGGATAAAATATCTGTGCACGTGCATGTCTCCTTCTCCCTGCCAATCTGGAAATACTGTTTGGTTTTACATGTAAAAAATGCCACGTTTTTAATGATGGCAGCATGTTCGGTGATGCGTAGCACTGAAGCAGACAGCCCTTGTTTCAGGCAGCAGCATATGGAAGCAGAAAGCAGCCGTGTACCTGAATCAGCGCTAGTACTTTGTCCTGGACAATGGTGGGGGGGTTGTTCTTGGGCGAGATGATTTTCACCAGAACGCCATCGATGAAGTCACGGTTTGCCACTAGGACGTGAAAGCGATGACCACAGTTCTTCACGCAGGTCTCCAACACCTACACACACACGCACAGGATAAACATTCATTGTTGGAGCAAAGCTTGAGCACACACACACCGCACCCATGTGGTTCGGTTTCTGATTTTGTTTTGGTTATTTTGTTTTCAAAACTTTTGATGGGAGGGAGAGAAGACAGAGGAGAAATTAAATATATGCTCCTAATTCTTCTTTTCTTCGACAATTTTACTAAAAATCTTCCTTCTCTACAGACACATTTAGATGCACTTCACCCATCATTAACATATGGGGCCCTTTTGTGATCTACCTTTGCCTGTTTTCAAGGTAAAGACATATAAAGTCCCTTTCTCTCCAAAGCAGAACTTTCCAACCTGCACAGCTCAACGGCAAAGTACACAGCATCACATCAAGAATAGGTAAGACAGATGACATCCTGTCACAATGAGATATTATCGTGCTGTGACACTCCACCATTTTCCATGTACCTGGGACACAGCTGGACCCGCTTGCTCTGAGCTATAAGCCACGTTTTAGAGTTGGGAATTCAGGTGAATGATCTTCACTCATTCAAAACACTCCCTTGTGAATGCTCTGACAGGTTATACTTTGACACATTTTCCCCCTGCAACCTAGCTAGAGGCACCTTCCACTTGCCATTCAACTGCCATGGAGAACAGCTGTTGGTTTTTCTCTGAAGAACATGATTAGCATGGAGATAAATCCAACGCGTCACTTCTCCTTACAGCCATGCCTAATAACCGCTGAGACTCTGTATCTGAGGAGTTTGTAATTACTCTCCTACTCCAGCTACTTTCATCAGCCCTGATGACACGGACTCACTCCTGATGAATTCCGCTCTTTCCTGCACAATGGATAATCTCAGGGATTGGTCTTTGGTGATCTGTCAAAATGACAATCGGGGATAGGAAACGGCAAGAAGACAGAAAGTACAGTCACGCATCGTCAGGGAGATGCAACAAGAGCCCTGCGAAAGAATCACACAGATCACCTACCCACAGCACAGTAACTCGATCTAGTTACTGCTGCTCATTCCTCAGAGTGCTGCAGCGCAGAGCCTGCCCGGTGCCACATGTCCAGGCGTGCTGCCTCCCCCAGGAAACCCCTAGCTAAAGCCGTCAGTAGGAAAGGTCACCGGCAAATGATCTCACACCTTAGCGGTGCTGCCTAAATGCACAGAATATGATTTACACTTCACTGAGTGAAATTACATCAGCATAAATTACTGCAGGTCTCCGACAGAGATCCATTCACAAGGGAAGTTGGGCATCAGCTACTCATGAAGCTGAAAATACAGCAGGTTCACCATCCTCCCTTGCAGATATGCCCACAGCTGTTGTCTTGAGTGGAAAAAACGGTTGGACACGGGGAGCGGGAGGAGAAGGGATAGCTCCAAAGGGTATGCGCAGCCATTTGGGCTAATTTAACTTCCCTCAGTCAGTACTTGGGATGAATAAGAGCCCCAAAAAAACAACAGAAATCAATTGAGTCCGAAAAACACTGTGCAAAGCTTCCAGCAACTCTTCCCCAAGGAAGCGAGGAGGCAGTTGGAGAGAAGAAAAGGGCAGAGCAGTGGCTGTTAAAGCAAATAGTGTGTCCATTCAAGGGAGTGCCAGGAAAAGGAAAATGGCAAAAGAAAAGGGTTCTGCCCTTTTGAGGCATTCCATCCTGCCCCCACTCACCGTCAGCGCCAGCATGACCTCTCTGTAATTTTTGTTTCCGTTCAGCCTCTTCTTCAGCGCTCGAATGGCATCCTTGGGACTGAAGGAGAAACACACTGTTTTTAAAAGACAGCTCAGGCACGCTTTTCACACGACACATACTGTGGGAAAAGGAATCCCTTCCCATTTCCAGCTGGACATAAGCATGTGTGTTAACTTCAGATTACTTGACTACAACCAGCCTATGTCGAATTATGTGAAGAGACAAGGTATCACAAGAGTCAAGACCAGAGCAATGCCTGAGGCATCCAAAAAGGCTGGATGTTGATGGAGCAGGAAAGATTGACAGCAACTCAGAAAAAGGCCCAGGGCTGAAGATCAGTGATCAGTTCTCCTGCAAGCAGCACAGCTTTCCTGGTGCTGAAGGAGAAGTATCCCAAGTTCTGTATTCAAATGGCTGAAATTAATGGCACTGCAGCACTACAAAGAGATACACGTGTTGAAAACATGAACCCCAGAAGTACATTCAGTACCCTCTCCAAGAAAACTTTTTTTCACACCGGCCCTCCCAAGCAGAGACCAATCCCAGAAAGCGCTGCATCATACAGGAGTTTTCTGAAGGAAAACTGTCTAAGGAGCAGGAAAACTAAGCAACTCGCATGCAAACTGCATTCAATCCACGAACACCTGCCCCCAGACTCCTCGCATGCTGAGTACGAAGGAAGGTTGCGTTCGTGAACCTTTCAAAGTTTGCTGAAATAGCACATACCCTTCTTCTGTCTCGTTGATGATGTCACAGATCTCCATGTTCAGTGTCCAGTCTTCACTCTGCAGAGAGCCATCTGTGGCCTTTTCTGGAAAGTAAAGAGAAATAAATCTTTGCACATCTTCCTGATTAGGTACTCTACTTCAATCCATCTTCAGTTACCCTGAGCTGAAACAATCGAGTAAAAGAAAGATATATTACAAAAAAAAAAGTCCCCACTGGCTGTAAGCTACGTCAAACCTTCCCTCCTGGTTTTAGGGATCAGCAGAGAGGTTTCCAGACAGAATCTATTATCCCGCAAGCTCACTGCCTTCAGCCCACGTAGATGGGCTATTCTTCAAAGACTCCCAAATTCCTGGGAGAGTTGGCAAATGTCAGCTAATTCCAATTCAAACTTCTCAGATGCTGCAATGTTGGCAAGTTATGAGGTTGGAAAATCTCCCCAAAATCAACATGACCTCCTCCCTGGTTTAGTGGATAATACCTCCACATGAACGGAGGGAGGAAAGAGAGCAACTTGGAGACAGAATCCAAGGAATTCCAGAATTTCAGCATGAAAAGAACCACCAGCACGTGAAAACATTTAGCACATTAGTGTTTAGGTCATGCTATCATTCATGGGCACCCCTTTTTGCATGGGATTCTTTTACTCCTGTACCCCAGTCCCTCAATACCTGCTTGATGGGGATGGGCACTGCTTTCCTCTGCCTCAGGTTACATCCCCAGTCCCTTCTCCATGCTGTACACATCTCCCATGCACACTCTGCCTTCCTCCTGACTCCCAAATGCTCCCTTACTATCTGTGTGGCCGGTAAGTCCTTCTGGCATCAGACTACGTTGCACGGGAAGGATGACCTATAGCACCATGGCAGTGGCAGATGCCAACCGCTGACCATTTAATTTACAGACGTCTGCAAGAGTAGCATAACTACAACTCCAAGTAATCAGTTGACAAGAACGATTTCCTCCTCGGAATTTCCCCCTAAGTCAAGACACTCTGTCTAGTGGCGCCTAGAACAGCCCCTGGGTTTTTCACGTGAGTCACTTGCAGCATTCAGACCCTCTCTGCGTTACACCGCCCACGTTCAGAGACCTATCGGGTTCAACGCCAAGCCTGTCGCCGGGAAGACCGTTACCGGGGACCTTCGAGCCGAACACGACCTCCTCCGCTAAATCAGTCTAGGTTCTTCTACCGATCCCTGGTATCCAACGTGGGAAGGCAAACAGGGTAAACAAAAGCATTTTGAAAATGTAAAATAAACTAAGCCACAAAATGTTTTAAAAACATTTTAAAGCAGAAACAAAAACACAGGTACCATCTTCTCCAAGCATCCTTCTGTCTTTACAGCGGGCCCAAATCTGTCCCGCCAAGCAAGGCAGATTTTGTTTTGAGAACATCAGGCTCCAAGGACATCGAGCATCTCTCTGTTTACCAACGATGTTTTTCTCATTAACATTTCTATCCCTGTGACTGAGGACAGATGCCCACAGGCCATAATTATGGGACGTTATTCGGAGAAAGACTGTGCGCCTGGGTAATCCAAGTTTCAGTGACTTGTCCACGCCAGAATCGTGGCTAAAGCAGCTCTACCAAGCATCACAAGTTTGACACAAACCGGACAGCTACGCAAAATCCAAGCAGAGAGTGCTGAAACAAGCCATCTACCTCCAGAATGCAGAGGACACCCCGGAAAAGGAGATTATAGAACAGGAGATGGCTCTTTGCAGGCCTCGCTTCCCATTCCTGCAAGGCACGCGGATGGATGGCTGCACAGGGTCTCACCCACCGGGAAGGAATCGGAGGCTGCAAAGCTCCCGGCTTTGCCATCTTCACCTTTTCCAGCCGTCACCACCTCATGGTACAGTTCATCTGGCAAGGAGAGCTCTTTCTGTTGGAGGAGGAGCCCGAGAGATGCGTGGCTTCCAAGAAGTCCAATAAATTCAGGACAGGTTATCGAGTATTTTTAATTTACGGCATTTAGGCTACATTAGGCAAGGATTCTCTTAAGGGAGAGCGCAGGCAGAGCTGTTTAATGTTTTCTGAGATGTAGGAATTCATCTTTGTGCAAAGCTTCTTGCAACAATCACTTTTATTAGCTGCATTTTGTTCTTGTACATAAGGCTTTATTGCTATAGAATGTGATCAGCCTTCACCTCCATATAGTCCTTGCTGCTTAGGAAAACGTTTCATTTAACATTAGGGAAAAAAAACCCTTAACATTCAGAGATATTTTTAAAAAAAATCACTACATCTGCTCCGCCAGAGAAGGTGATCCCCAAAGCTGCAGAGGATTTATACGCACAGAGCTGCAAAATGAGAGAGTATGCCTTAAACAGAGGGCATTCCTTAAGCCGGACATACGATTCATTTTCTTAATCTAAAAATATGTTAACAAATCTGTGTGTTCTTGAAAGCAGTTGGCATCAGGCAGCGACTCAGCGACATGCATGCTCTCCAGTCTGCTATAATCACTTTTTATAACCGACTGTGGAAAACGCTGATCCCGCACAAAGTTGTGCGAGCAGCCAATTCCTTCACTGGTCTTGAAAAGCCCATCTAGTTAAGGCTTATTTTGATGACAAACTGTGTATGTGGCAGTACTCCACAGCTAAAAAGGGCGATATTCTTGGAGATGGTGGAGCGAAGAGGTGCTGCGGCAGCACGGGACGGAGGGAAGCATAGGAACACTCACCTGGGCTCCCCAGTAACCTCATTCCTATTTCCCTTTGGAGATACCCTAGGGAAAACAAATTCCCCTTTCTCCCAGAAAGTTTAGTTACCTCCTCTTTATTGTATCTGTTCTTTAGTTGGAGTAATACGTGGTTGAGACTGTGTGGGTTTAAGACGTAACAGTTGTCTTTTTGAGAATTAGTTCTTTTCCCCTTGGGTAATTTTTAATTCGAATAAGAGTTGGAAGCTAATTTTAGTCTCTTCTTCAGCAACAGAGAGCACACAAGCACTTGTCATCCGTAGCTGTTTGTCCTTCGCAGGGTGCGTGACCCAGATTTGCTGCTACAGCGCCCGCTCGGCCGTTACAGCGAGTTCACGGGCTGTGGAGTTCACGGGCTGCGGAGAAGGCGCACCAGTGGGTGTGTGATTTGTTGGAAAACCAGTATGACGCTGCAATCAACTGAAAGCCTGCGGAGCGCTTCTGGAACCAAAACGTAGCAGGTTGTAGTTCTGGATTTCTGGGGAAAACAGCTCTGCCTGCACTTAGCCGTGCGAGAATCCCTGCCCAACATATCCAAAATGCAGAAAATCAAAAATACCAAATAACTGTCCAGAATTAGGGATGTTTTGGAAGCCATGCATCTCTCCATGGCTCCTCCTCAAACAGCAAATATGACTGACAAGACTGGAAACTATCACGGAATTGTAAAGGAATGGCATGCAAATGCCCCTTCAAGTTTTATCACCCGTTCCTCAAGCTCTCTCCAGCTCATTAAAAGGCATCAAAGTGGCACTAGTTCACACAAGGGCTCTGGAACACGACCAACGGATTCCAGGGCGACACGAGGAATGTTAAATCAGACAAGGATAAAGGCAACGCGCAGGAGTCCCTCGTGCCCTCCCCTCACTGAGCTGGAGAGTCGACGGTGCAGTTTAATGGTGTAACAAGGCTGGCAGCTCCCAGTCTGGGTGCCGAGGGTGCCTCGACAGCTCCTGACCCCACAGCAACTCCGAGCGTGGCATTCCCCGCAGGAACAAACCAGGGGTCTGTGTCTCACAGAGACGTGACACCACCAGCGAGATCCTCGGAGAGCCTCTCTCCGAAACAAGATGCTATCGGTTCCCACCACGTTTCCCAAATTCAAGTGTGAATGTTCTGGGAGGCAGACAGACAATCGGGTGCTCCACGCCTGACACGCCGCAGCCCTTGGACACCGCGTATGCACACGCAAGCATTAGCTTATCTCTAGCCTGCAGAGAAAAGGAGAAAACACTGCTGTTTTTTCATTCACACCTTCCCCCCCAGATCTAACTCCTGCGGCCGCATTTCCCCGCTTTGCCGAGCGGCAGTACCTCCATCTCCCTGCCCGCACCCACATCCCGTACATTTTACGGCATTCAGAAGGGGATGTGCAGGACATTAAGTTTTCAGCGTACATGGTCTCGGTGCACACCCCCAGCCAAACCTCTTCCCAACAGCCTGCTCCATCGAAGAGATGTTCCCACGAGGAAATCAGGTCGGAAATGCCTGTGTAATGGTAATAAATGGGCAGGGCAGGGATGTGCTTTATAATGAGGGGACAAAACCAGGAGAACTTCTACCACCCACCTTGACCCCAGCTCAGAAGTCCCCTAACAAGGACGTGCTAACACTGGCTGTCCTCGAGAAGCTGCTCTCACAGCCCTTCTCAGCCTTTGCTTCAAAGTTCAATGCTGATGATCCTCTTCACATTTGACTTTGCTCACCTATGGATGAGATAAAGCAGACCTCCTCGCTCCTACCTGCTTTCCCTTCCCGTGACCATGATACTGACCCTGCCGATGGAGACAGCCTGAGGATTTTCATTCAGACTGCCACTGCACCAGCTGCAGTCTGTATGCTATTTAACTCACACGCCATGTGCGTGTTTGGGCAGCCGAGACTGAAAAACTGACTGCTGGAAGCAGCGAGAACAGCTACTCCAGCTGAACAATGACAGCAGGCATGACCAGGGTAGAAATCTCCCCAAAAGGTCTGTCCGTAAGCACCCGTAAGCGACTCTGGGGCTGCATGATGCTCTTGGAAGTTAAATGTTTCACTAGCTAGAAATCACATTAAATGAAAGAGGGAGAAATGCACGGTTTTCTGCCTGAATAACAGAATCTTGTGAATGAACAGATCTTTGTGTTCAGAGAAATCAGAGTTTTCTCTTGGGACTGCTCCAGATGTTGCTTCAGAGACTCTGAATTCGTACGTTTGGGAAGAATTATGGACAAAAAATCACCTTCTGTTTATGCACGAAGCATGCACACCAATGCACCCTATTAGAGAGATCCGAAAGCAAGAAACCTCCAATTCCGAATGTCTCCCCTTCCCCTCCAACAGCATTTGGTGTTCAAGCAGCATAAAACATAATCTTTTTTTTTTTTTAGCTGCT